AGGAGGAGGAGAAGGAGGAGGCGGAGGAGGAGGAGGAGGAGGAGGAGGAGGAGGAGGAGGAGGAGGAGAGAGAAGATGGAGGATACAGCATGAAGGCTCGAGGACGGAAGAACGAGTGAGGGGGTACGGGTGGGGGAGAAGCAGAGCGCCTTGCAGAAGCGTGCGTTTTTTTCGCAAATCTGTGTGCGATTACACCCGCAGTCACGTGGATGCGTCCCCGTGGTACGAGCCGCATGTCGCAAGGCCGAGGTCAGTCCGCTTCCGGCTGTCGAGCTTTTTCCTCTCCCCCTCTCTCTCTCTCGCGCTGCTTCTCTCAACCTCAATATTCGAAAGAAACGTTTTGACCGTCGCCCTGGCTACCAGGCCACACCAACGCGTACCAAACACCCCCTTTCCCATTTGCTCTCAATCTGCCGGCCAGTTTGGTGCTGTTTGGCAGCGGCGGTATCCCAAAGCGCCAGGGGCCATTTCTACCTAGTAGATACTTGCATCTGTGCGATCTTGCTGATGGGACAGTGCGGCTTTGGATATACGGAAAAAAGCTTCCAGGTCGGTTTTGGACCCTCCTGGCCTGTGCGGCGACGACAAGTGGCAGTACGCGTTGGATTTCTACCAGAAGGCACGTGCTGCCCAGAAGCCCTGGCATCGCTCCCCTAAGATGCGTTCTCTCTCTGCCTCCAAGGTGATCCAATGTCTCAGACTGCCGAGCTTCGTGACTGTTTAGAAAATCGGGGGGGAGGGTGCAGTACCGAGGGGACGAGATTCCTTGGGGTTCGCCAGCCGGCATGCTACACGATCGCTTGGATTCTGAAGACTATCAGCGTCGAGATGCGTCCATCGACAGTTTCACCGATGCTCACAGCGAACCTCCTCGGGTTCCCAGGTCTTATTCCTCGGCCCCCTGGTTCCCTGATTTTGTTCCTTGCTTGGGTTCCTCGGGTTCCTCGGCCTTGTTCCTCGGGTTCCCCGGCGTTGCCTACTTGGAAACGTTCCCCTAAGTGGGGTCGCGCCGGGTTCATTTTCATTGCATTCGGGGTTTCCGAAACGGTCCAGATGGCATGCAGCTGAACTGGGCGTGCAGAGGGCCTTCAGGCACCTCCAAGGGATTCCTGGGGGGCAGGCCTCTAGGGGTGGCGCAAATCCCTTCGAGGCCTTCCGCGATGAGGATGGCGCTCAGCCTCTCCAGGCCGCTTACGTCGCGGGGAGCGCGGGCGCAGCCTTGAGCATTTGACTTGCCAGACCCTCGGCCCATGGCCGTTTGAATCCGCCTCTTCTTCTTCTTCTTCTTATTTTTCTTTTTCTTCTTCTTCTTTTTCTTATTATTGTCCTTCTTCTTATTCTTCTTATTCTTCTTTTCCATCTCATTTTTTACTCGGGTCAAGTTGCTACATGGTGCTCCGCCCTTTCTGTGTCGGTCCTGTCAGAGTGCGACTTGGTTGAAATCTGTGAGTTTGTTGCTTTTCTGGGGATGCCATGGCGTTTCATTCGTGGAGGAAAACCTTGAGCTGATGCACCGCCATTTCGGGTGCACTTCTTCGCATGACCAGCCGAAGGTGTCTTGGAGCTGTTTCGCAGTGGCGAAGCTTCAGCGCGCCCGATATGATAGCGGGTCGCTTCGCCGTACTTCTGAGCCGTCTCATATCTAGCAATGGTGAGCGCCAACGCTGCTCGGTCTGCCAGTGGTGCTACCTTCACACTGTTGCTCCATTTCACCATGTTTGAACAGTTCTGGGGACGAGGCGAGAGGATAGACCAAGACACCAGTCATTCAGTGCAGAGGGGTCGAGCATTGGCATAACACTCTCGTACCGCATTAACGTTTGAGCCTCTTGGTTCCTATGGTCTTCTGTAAAGGACGCGCTGTGGACCGGGAGCAGCACTTGGTGCCACTGCCTGCGACTCAGTCAGCTCCAGCTTTGGCTTGGCAATCGCGTTCTCCGCGTGCAGAGTGTTGGCGGGAGGAGGGTTGACGAGGTTTCCCGCGATCTAGATCAAGCATCGGGAAGTTAATCGGGACCAGCGCTGTTCGAGAGATTCGGCCGGGGTGGGAGAGGTGGAGGGAGTACAGATCAGGACAGACACATGAAATCATGTTTCCCTGGCTAGGAGTATGTTCCCCTTCGACATCGGAGCAGTTTGAGACCCTGAGCAAGAGAGGGACCGACCAACCACTACTACTGGATTCGCCAGTTGAAAGTCTCATATTTAGCCACATGTTGTATGAACCTTCTGCTGGACTGAATTGACATGGAATGTCAGGGAGCCAGTGGGCATGGTGGGAGAGCGTGTTGAAGGCCTCCTTCCACCCACGGCCGTCACTCAGAATGTCCTGGATTCCTCGCGCTCTCCCCTGTTGTGATTGGTTGGGGTCAGGGCGGTCTTGAAGGCTTGTCCGCCTGGCAGCGAAGACCCCCCGACACCAGGTGACCTGAGGAGAGGACCCTGATGAGGGAGGGGACGGTGTGGGCTGCCTTTGGGATCCCTGGCTCCTGTCACAAGCCTCGAGCTCAGCTCACCCAGTCAAATTGAGGGGCACCCTGCCAGTTAGTGATATACATACCTACCAAACAAAAGTTAGTAATGCACATACCCGTTGTCCGGGTGTGTAGCTATTGAGGGTCCGCTGTGTCACTCAGTACTCTGGCATGTTCAGTTTGATTACTTGGGCACGGGGATGTTCCAGGGCAGTGGGACACGCCCCCCGAATGAACTACTGAAGCCCGTTGGCTCCGCTTCCTCCTCCTTGTACTTCTTCTCCTCTGCTTTTGTAACTGCCCATTTTTTCCCGAGCTTGACCCAACGGCGGCCAAACGTGCCGCTCAACGCGCCACTCGCGAGTCCCTCCAGCAGCCTCTTCCGCCGCCGTTCGCGCGATGCTGGGGCTCCCGCAGCGCAGTGAGGCCGACTCCGCGCCGCACGCCGAGGACGCCGTCTCGACCACAACGCCGCCGAGCTCGTTGGGCGCGGTGTCCGCCGCCAGCGTTGCCGCGCCCAATGCGCTCGCGGCCACGGGCGCTGGCGCCGAGAGCATCGACGTGGAGGCGGGGGCCGGTGTGGAGGCGGAGGCGAACGCCCCTGCCTCGACGAGGCTGCCCCCCCGCGGCCTCAGCCGGCTCAGTCGGCACAAGAGCGCCGCCGACTCTGCGTCGACCCTGCTCGAGGAGGAGCCGGACGAGGAGGAGTCCAGCCTGCCTCGGCCCGAGAAGTGCTGCTGGGCCTGCAGGAATCATTGCGGCAAGGGGAAGGGCGGCAGCTGCTACTGGTGCTTCGTCATCGTCTTTTTCATGTTCTGCTTCGAGTTCCCCGTCTTCCTGGTTTGGATGGTGAACAGTCCTATGCCGAACCAATACTGGAACGAGCTGTATGGCAAGTTTCCAGTACTGGAGGATCACACCTTCATCGTCAACGACAACATCTCGCGCTTCACGCTTAATGTGTCCCCCATCCCCACGGCGTTCTCGCAGTGCAACCACTCCTGTGGCGGCGGGGCTGACTCGAGTGCTGACGTGAGCTTCAGTGTCGATCCAGGTGCGCTGGGCGCGCGTATCCGCCACAGCGCTTCCGCAAGCTGCGTCGGTTCTCGCGCTGCCTCGTACGGGGCGGGCTTGCAGTCTTCTTAGGTCGGTCGGACTTTTTGTTTTGGCCCCCCCGGAAGTCGAGGGGCCGTCCCTGGGCCTTTTTCGGGATCCTGCCTGCCTTTCTTGGGGCTTCTGTTGCCGATTGGGTGGCCAGTTGGTTGGTTGTTGGGTTCTTTGGTTTGTTGGTTTGATGGGTGGTTGGTTGGTTTGTTGGCTGGCTGGTTGGCTGGTTAGGTGTTTGGGAGGTTGGTTGGTTGGTTGCTTGCCTGCTTGCCTGGTCGGTGCCCTGCTTGTTCGGACGGTTGCCTGGTCGGCTATTCATCAGGTTGGTTGCTGTCCTGGTGACCGGGGCTATTGCAGGCAGTATCCGTCAAGACTTGTTGGGACCTCTTGGGGGCTTCGTGGAGTTCTCGTAGTGGCTTCTAGGTGCGTCTGTTCGCGCATTGGGGGCTTTGGGGACCTCTTGGCTATCTTTGGGCGGAGATGCTCCACTGTGAGTCTACTTGTTTCCTCTTCGGCCTCTCTTGGGTCACTCTTCGGGGCCTTGGCCGTCTTGGCGTCCTCTTTGGCCGTCTTGGCGCCCTCCTGGGCCGTCCTGGGGCTCTCTTGGGGGCCTCGCGTGCAGTCTTGGGGCGGTATTGGGGGGGTCTTCTTGAGCCGTGCTGAGCGTCTTGAAGTGCGAAAACGCCAGAACGCTTCACTCATCTAAGCGCCTGTAGGACTCAATGGTTCGTGGCTCGAGAGGCACTCTTCGGGGTCCTCTTGGGGCTGTATTGGGACGTCTTGGGGGCCGCGCGGCACGGATTGAGGCCATCTTGGGCCGTTTTGTGGCTTGTGTTGCTGTGGTGGAGCCATATCGGAGTTGTCGTGGGGCATTCTGACGAGGCTGAATGAGCGACTGGGTTTGCGGGAGCGGGTGAGGGGCCATAAAAGACCCCTCTGTGAACTCGGATGCTGGTTGAATTTTCTGCCGGGGATGCCAAGCTCGCAAGAGCTTTGCACCCAAAGTAGAGGCATGTTGGGGTCGATGCTGCGGGCGCCCCAATTATTGCTGCGCAAGAAGCAAAGGAAGCGAAAAGGCGATGGCCCGACACACAGCCGGTAAAACAACCGTGTCGGGCCATCTCGACGACCCAGCATGCCAACAATTTTCCTGGACCACGTCATCGTACGCACATGGCACGACGCCGTCACCCCTGAGGAGGACCATGCCATCCTGCGCACAAGGCACAAGGGCGTCACCCCTGAGGAGGCGATCGCCAGCTACCACACCACATGGCACGGGGCCCCGGGATCCTCACACATCGATCCGGCTCGGCATCGTGCTGGGATCAACGGCGCCACCCCTGAGGAGGCGATCGCCAGCTACCACGTCACATGGCACGGGGCCCCTGGATCCTCATACATCGATCCGGGTCGCAACCACGGCATGATGATGGTCCAGGTCATCATGCGCACAAGGCACGACGGCGTCACCTCTGGTGAGGACCACGTCATCCTGCGCACTAGGCAAAACGGCGTCACCCCTGAGGAGGTGAGCGACAGCTACCACACCACCTGGCACAACCGCGTCACCCCAGAGGAGGTGATCGACAGCTACGACACCACATGGCACAGGGCCCCTGGATCCTCACAGATCGATCGGGCTCGAGACAGCGTTGGGCACGCGCCGGCCTGAGGGCTGGCACATCGTGCTGGGATCATCCAGACGTCTCGGCATGCCAACAATCATCCCTGGTGGCGGCTATGAAATTGAGCGCCCCTGATTTCGAGCATACAGCCTACCCGGTGCTGCTGGCATCAAGCGATTTTCAGAATTGGTGGGTGGCCGCTGACAAGCGCGATTCGATGACGGTGCCTTTCTTTCCGAGCCACAGCGCAGAGAACGCTGCTATCTACCAGCACACGACAGGGGAGTGCACCCGCGTGCCTGGGATGGGCTCCTCCGACGCGGAGACCACAACCTTGCCGCCGACGGAGCTGTTCGCTTCCACTCCCACGTACGTGATGGTCTGTGTGGCGTGGTCATCGGACAAGATTGCCTGGCTGGAGGATGAGGCGAACCACGAGATCATGGGGGCTGAGCGTGAGAACATCGGTCTTCACTGCGACGCCGTCGGCGGGGTCTGCGGCTGGTCGTGTGGGTCGAGCTCCTCGGACACCGATTTGCCCGGCTGCTCGGCGGGCGTGCTGAACGTGAACAACGAGGAGAGCACTGTCGCTGGGCGCAGCGTGCCGAACGCGAGCTTCGGCGGCTCCATCGACGTGAGGGCTTGCTTATCGGACCCTGGGTCCAAGGAGTGCATCACCTCGACGGTCCCATTCTCGGAGTGGCCGTGCACCCAGTGTCGCTACACGACGCGCGGGGAGAATGAGAGGAAGGAGTACACCGACTACGACAGCCTCCCCCGGATGCAGGTGAACTTGCGTGGTGCCGCGCAGGCCGACGGCTCACTGGTGGGAGCCGATTCAGTGCCCCGCGCCTACGTCTTCACGACTGGCGTCGATGCCAGTGGCGAGGGCCCTGCTGGAATGATGAGCGGAAAATGGAAGAGGCTTTACAACCCCGCTGCATACAATGCCCTCGAGTCCCCCGCGCCAATTCCGTTAGCACTCTACGAGGAAGAGGAGGTGGAGGACGACGAGACCACGCTGGCGCCGGCCTATCAAGACGCGAGCTGGAATGCGATGCAGTTTCGGGACATGAACAAGATCTCGCTAAAGCCTGACAAGTGCTTTGCCGCGCGTGGGCCGCTCTACATCGTCGCCTGCGCCGTGAACAGCAGCATGTACGCGGATAAGTTCGAGCTCGAGCTCGCGCAGACGGTGGCACCGCCGCCGTTCACCGACCGGTGCTTGGCGGTCGCCGGCAGGTGTGCGCACGCATGCATGGACCAAGGTGCTCCCCTGGAGCACTGCAACGCGGACGGCTCCATCGATTTTGCAGTGCTGACCTCGAATTTCGAGACACCGGCAAACGACGGGTACGCAGTAAACTTTTTCGTGCTGGTGCTGCTCATCGGCTTCGCGGTGAGGCTGGTGACGTATTTCCCTGGCCTCTTCATCCCATACAAGCATCCCAAATACTACGACCCAGCAATGACGGGTAAGCTCAAGTACATCGCCGTCTGCTCGCCGAGTGGAGGTGAGACCAAGGTCGGCCACGCAGAGGGGGGTATGGGGGAGGGCGGAAGGCTTCGTAGAAGCACCGCTGCTTCTTAGAAGGCGCGGGCCTTGTCTGTAGATGTAAGGCCGGCGCCTTCTAAGAAGCAGCCTCCTTCTCAGAAGCCTTCCCCCCTCCCCCTACCCCCCTCTGCGCGCCGCCAACAAGGCCTGTGTGCTGCGTAACGTGGTCGGCGCCTTCTCGGGCATGCCCAGGAAGTGCCAGTGCCCCTTCTATGTTGTCTTCGCCGACGAGGGCCATAGGCACCCACAGAAGGTGATGTTCAGAGCCCTGGTGACGGTCCTGCAGCACGTCCCAGACATCTCCCTGAATCAGAGCAAGGCCAACCGCTCGCCGCGGAACGGGTCCATCGGTGGCTTCAAGGAGGACAACCTCAAGACCTTTACGAAGCTGTGGGTGGAGCAGACCCGCCTCTTCAGGCTTGAGCAGTGCAACACCGCGAAGACTGCGGACAAGATCAAAAAGCTGAGGCAGGCACTCAAGGAGGATGAGGAGCCCACGGCAGAGATCAGGAAGCTGGAGAAGCAGCTCGACGACCTGGCTGGGGTCAACGCGCTCAAGACGCTGCAGGCCCGCGCTGGCTGGCCGAAGAGCGGGGACGGCTCGGAGGGTGGCGAGCTCATCCGTGACCTCGAGGAGGCGCTTCAGCAGGTCCGGAAGGAGCTCGCGTGCGGCGAGAAGACATTCGACGGGGCTGGCACGTGCGACAAGCGCGTGCCAGTTCACTTGGACGATGTCGAGGCCTATTCCTGGACCCCGCCCGCGTCGAGCTCGAATCCGACCCCGGCGCCCCTGTACACGCTGCACTACCTTGCTCGCGCCAAGCCCGACGAGGATGATCGCATCCTCAAGGCAAGTGGGCGGGAGAGGCGTTCCAGAGAGGGCCTGAACTTCGGCGCGTCTCGTCTTCTGCGGAAGGCCTGCGGACGCCGTCGGAAGTATAACGGCGATGGGGCCGCCGGTTGAAGATTGAAGGAAGGTGGCGAACCTACAAGTGAGATGCCCACTTTTTTGGGTTCAGGGTTTGTGGTGTGTGTGCGTGTCAGAGATGAATTTGCGTCTCGATGTTCATATCGATTGCAACTGGATTTGCATTCCGATGTGCTTCTCTGTTGCAATTGAATTTGTATTTCTTTTGCAATTGGCTTTGTATTCCGATTTGAATTTCGATTGCATGCCGATGTCCATGTCGACTTGAATTTCCTTCCCAAACAGAGCCTGCACTTCGAGGTTCTTTCTTGTCTTCGTAGGAGCTGGGCCTGTCTGTCGGTCTAGCGGCTATGTTGTCGCTGTCGCCGCCTCGTCGCCGCCTCGTCGCCGCCTTTATCTGGGCGCCTATTTGTCGGTCTGGCGGCTATGTTGTCGCTGTCGCCGCCCTGTCGCCGCCTGTACCTGGGCCTGTCTGTCGGTCTGGCGGCTATGTTGTCGCCGACGCCGGCTCGTCGCCGCCCGTACCTGGGCCTGTCTGTCGGTCTGGCGGCTATGTTGTCGCCGTCGCCTCCCCGACATAGATGGCACAACATACATTGCACCACATAGGTTCTACCACCCTCCCCCCCGGACTTATCTACTCACCGGGAACCGATGTAAAACCCATTGGATTCTGACCCAATGTCCATCCTACCTGTGAGGTCACACTATCCCATCCAGGCAGGTATCGACCCCCCTTCGGCTCGCTTTCCAAAAATACAATGCGCGCGCGTTTTCATTTATCAAAAATAAGAAGTTTTCAAGACTTCCTTGCAAAAAGCGGGACGACGTGCACGCGCGCGTCGTCGCGCGCGCATGCCGAATCTTGTCAAAACATTCGGTCTCGGAAGGATTTCAAAATCGAGTGTCCAAACAACATACAAAAACAAAGGGTTTCTCAACACGGATTTTTCAACATGTTCAAGAACATACTACCAAACGGGCGTCGCGCGCGCATGTCGAAATCGTTTGAACGCCCTTACGGTCGTGCCGTCGCGAGAATCCTTTGCACAAAACGTGACGAAGTGCACGCGCGCGTCGTCGTGCGCGCATGCCGAAATCCTTCAGGAACCCTCGGTTGTTTCGGAAGGATTTCAAAACCGAGTGTCCAAACAACATACAAACACATAGGGTGTCGGAACACGGAATTTCCACAAAAGCGCGCGCGCGCGATCTTGCGATTTTTGAAGGAAACCATCGGTTCTACAACATTTTCAGAAACATACTACCAAACGGGCGTCGCGCGCGCATGTCGAAATCGTTCGAACGCCCTTGCGCGCGTGCCGTCGAGAGAATTCCTTGCAAACGCGTGCCGAAGTGCACACGCGCGCGTCGTCGCGCGCGTATGCCGAAATCCGTCAACGAATGTTGGTTTCGCAAAGGTTTCGAAACCGAGTGTCCAAACAATATACAAAACACACAGCGTTTCGCAGTACTGATGTTCAACAAAAGCGTGTGCGCGCGCGCTCTGGCGATTTCGTAAGAAAACCTTGAGTTTTCAACATGTTCAAGGCTATGCTACCAAACGGGCTTCGCGCGGGCGCATGTCGAAATCGTTCGAACGCACTTGCGAGCGTGCTGGGGCGGCACCATCCGTGTCAAACAAGACCGTGCGAGCCACTCTCGCGCGTCTGTCCCGGATGCAGCATATCATTGCAGGCGACTTCAATCTTATTCAAGACCAGCTTGAGTACTCGGAGTACTGCGCCTTTATCAAAGGTCAGCTGTTTGCACCTACGTGCTCGATGGGCACATGCACAGTGAGCAACACAGTAATATATATGTTCACTGTCGAGCAGCAACTCGCTAACGCAGTGAGAGCTATCGGTATGGACTTCGATTGGGATGTCAAGCCGCACTTCCCCGTGGTCTTGGACCTGCCTCCCGCCTTTGGAGAGGTCTGGGTCCTACAATTTCCTACCATTCCCTCCCTCCCCTCCTCGTTCGACAAGAATGAGGAGGATGAGGATATCACCCACCCCAGTAACGCTTCCTGGAGCGAGGTGGCTGAACTCTTATGTAGCCTGATTTCAGATATAGGTAGGCAGCCCAAGGCAGTGCTGCGCGATGGCTTCGCCGTGGCCTACGCGCGCTGGGCCGACGCTGCGGAGCAGGAGATCGCCCAGCGCACGGGGAGCAAGTTACTCAAGCCACGTCTCAGAAGACGTGCCCCGCAGCCCATACTCGGGCCAGTCATAAAACAGAATAGAGCCAACAAGCAGCACGGCCTCCTCCCTTCAGCGTCAAGCTGGATTGCTGCCAGACTTCTGAGCCTGTCAAGACTTCCCGAGGAGGAGGAGGATTGGACGAGGAGAGCGAGGATGAGCAGGACCACCAGGCCGGCTGTCTACGACCTCGTTTCACGGTTAGTGCGCGCCACACCGCAGCATGTGATGCAGCATGAGAGTACACGCAAGGTTTTTGCAGACATTCAGCGCTACCTTAAGCCGATGCTTGCCGCCATCAGAGGGGGCTCCTACAGCGGTGATGAGATAGCAGCTACCATTGCGCAGATGCACATGCTCAAGGCGAGGTCGGGTATGCTCGTCAAGCAAGTTCTCTCAGCTGCGAGGCCAGCCAACGCCACGTCCTGGAAGGAGTGTGTTGACCAGGCCCTCGACAGGGGGGCCAAAGCTGCACGCAAGTTCATAAAAGAGCGCACCAATTGGGAGCCTGACACGGTTGTGACGGAGGGCAAGCTCACGGCCTCTATTCAGAGCACTTTGGACATCTTCAGGGCCAAGTTCGGTAAGTTTTGGGACCCCGCTACTGAGCCTCTTCATCGGGACAACGACCTCCACGAGCCCATCGGGATCCCCACTACGGACGCTCTCAGGGACCTCTCGAAGAGCTACGGCAAGGCCTCTGCTGTCTCCCTCGGCGGGTTCCACATGAGGCACCTCGGCATGTTATCTGAAGAGGCCCTGGAGGCCTTCGCCAGAATTATTTACGTCTCGGAGGTCCTTGGCGAGCTCCCTGGGCAACTCCAATGGGCCCTCGTGGCGCTCCTTAGGAAAGCTCAAGGTGGCTACAGATCCATAGGTATATTCCCCATGCTGTACAGAATACCCGGCAAGATGCGCCTGCCATTCGCGCAGGACTGGATTGCCAAGCGCGACTACTCTTGGTTCGCATGTGGAGCAGGGAGATCCCCCATAGACGTAGTTTGGCGGCAGAGTCTCAGAGCGGAAGGGGCCGTCGCTGGAAAAAAGGGGCCTCGGCTGGAGTTCGTTGGGGCGTGGAAGCTTTCTTGGAGCGTTTCAAGAGGGGCGAGCTTCGGGCGCGCGCGCTAGATCTGAATTTCCCCGAGACACTGCTCGCCCTGCACCTTGCAGGTTACGGCTCCTGGCGACGCATGGCGTGGAGGCGTTGTGCGGCGCAGCCGCTTGCAGCGACTAACGGCGTCGTGGCTGGCTGCTCGTTCTGCATTCTCTATGTTAGAACCTGCTGTTTCCAGGCCTTCTTGCGAGTCACATCGTTGCACGCGGCAGTCTATTTCGATTTCTATCTGGGCGACCTGTCCATCACTTGCCGCGGCGCCACGGTCAGGGTCCTCAAGCTTGTTATAAGCGCTGCCACGGAGCTTGCCCGTCTCATCGAGATAGACCTTGAGGCCAACATTGCGGTTCACAAAGGAGCTGTCGTTGCGTCGTCGGTGTCGTTAGCCAGGCTCCTGACCTCCGCCCCCGGGGAGACGGGGAGCAAGCTCCAGGCGGTAGCTACCGATTTAGGGTGCGATTTCACTGCTGGCAAGTCCTTCGGTTGCTACGGAGCGGCTGCCGAGCGCGAGGTCAGGCTGAGGACTGCCGTGGTCCGTGGCCAACGCCTGCGTAGGCTCACCGCCGCCGCTGGTCAAATATGTAGGAAAATTGTCACGGCGGGCCTCCTGCCCGCTGGGGCTTTTGGGGCCGCTATTGACGGGCTCAGTTGCAAGTCCTTGTGTCGCTTGCAGTCCTTAGAGTTGGCCCAAATCACGCCCTGTTCGTCCAAGAAATCCAGGAGCGCGGCCTTTGCCGTCACGGGGCCCAGGGCCGATCGTTGGGCTCTGGGGCCTGTCCTTAGGTGGGCCCAGGAAGTTTGGTACGCCACTCTCGGCAAGTTTGCGACCCCAGGGGCCAAGGGGATTCTTGAACTCAAGGAGATATTTCAACATATCCAGCCAGTAGGACACTTGCGTTATAACGCCGCGCGAGGACCACTCAGCGCGGCGGCGCGCGCTCTTCGCAGAATTGGCTGGTGCTTTCACCCTGCGGGATCATTTCGACAGGGCGATTTGGCTCACCGACACTTCGCCGCCCCTGCTTCCCGACCAGCTGCAGCGAGGATGTCAAAGGAAATGGGAAATGCCTGCCATGAAAAGTATCCCCGGCCCAACCTCCCTCAAGAGAGCCTGTTTTGACATTATTTTCTTTTTGCTTTCCCCGAGAAGCAGGAAGCTTGCGCCTAGGTTCAAGGCCATTCTCCAAACGCTGGTGGCCCAGGGGTGGTGGACCGAAGAAAAGCTTTCCCACTTAGGATATGACGTGCCTAACGTTTGTCCGTTGTGCCAGGACACCCTCCACCATCGCCTTTATCGCTGCCGGCGTCCAGGGGTGGAAGCCCTCGGGGCCGAGTTTCTACCGCCAGAAGTGCTTCGAGCTGCGCTGGAGGCGCCAGAGAACAGCCCCCTGTACTGCTACGGGGTTTTCGAGCACCCAGGGGAGCAGCATGATGATTTTCCGCTGCCAAGTCAAGATCCCATTGTACGATTTGTAAGACATGGCGGTCAGCCAGACACGGCGCGCGACTTCGGGGGGCCCACGGGGGCCGACGGGTCGTGCACAAAGACAGGCATGGCGGAGTTAGACAGAGCGACGTTTTCGGTAGTGGCTTGCAGTACTGAC